TTATATTGTGGCTTAATTGTGAGGATTCACGTTGTAATACATTTAACACCGAAGAAGTGTGTTGGGTGAGAGACGGGTCATCCAAGAGAGTGGCTCGTTGACGTGCTAGGGAGAGGTTGTAACCGAGCACTTAGAGGGAGGAACGACGGGCTAGGACAACATTCAGTGGTGTAAAGGGTATGATTGCATAAGTGATTATATGTGAGTGTAAAACTTTTCGGGTAAACAGAAAACCAGAGCCGGTTGTGATAGTGGAGATTCTCCTGCGACGGTGAGGAGCGAGGACGTAGGTCGTGGGGAGAACTCCGTGATCATATCGTGTTGTTTGTGATTTGAATTGGCGTTCTTATTCTATGTTTTCAATATCTTATATCGCATTTGTGTATTGCTCATCATATTACCCTATCACTTGTGTAGATTGTTTATTTTACCCTTGTGTTAGTTTATATATCATTGCTCATATACTTGTAATATCTCATTGATAGGATATATTCATTTGTTCATATTGCCTTATCCTAGCTAATGTATCTTATTGCATTTTATTCTTGCTAGGATATTTTGTTATTAGTTATAATTAGTATTTAATTGGATTAGATTAGCATAAGACCCTAATCACCCCCCTCTAGGGTCTAACAATTGGTATCAGAGCTTGGTGCTCTTTGATTTAAGGTCTAATCGCCTTGAGTTAAAGATCCAAGTTAGCTTATTGTGCTAATCTATTTTTGAGCTTTATTTGTATCTTGCTTGCATACATTTTCTTATTATGGACATACATTGTGCATCTTGTTTAGGCTATGATCCTATTGTTGCTCCTAAAATAGATAATCTCCCATATGACCAATGGTGTTCTAGATTTAACATATTTGTTAGATCTAAACAATTCGATTTATGGGAAGTTATTGAAGATGCTTATATTATACCCACTTCGGAAAAATCCAAGTGGAGTAACAATGATAAAAGAATGTTTAATATGAACAAGCTTTTGTTAGAATATTTGCTTAATGCCTTTGACTCATCCTTTTCTAACAAATTTGTTCATTTTGATAGTGCTTACAATTTATGGAAATTCATAGAAGCACATCAAGGCAACTTGGAGGAAATCCGACGTAGTTTGGAGGATTATTCTTCAAGTGAGTGTGGAGCATCATCATGCACACGGCCACTAGGCGATGGTAAGTGATTCGGAATCCGATAGTGATATATCCATCAATGAACTTGCATGTGCATATGATATGTTAATGCATGCCTACACTAAGTTGCATAATAATTTCATTGATCTTAAAAGCAAGCATGTTAATTTAAAATTCGATCATGAATTGCTAGCATCAAACTTTGATACTATTGCTAAAGATAATGTGATCCTTAAAGAAAATAATGAAAAATTAAAATTGGATCATATTACCTTGAGTTCCAATGTTGCTAGCTTAATTCATGAGAAGAATGATGCCATGTTAGAAGTAGAGTCTATTAGAAGTAAATTTACATCATTTAAAAATGATCATATTTGCTCTACTTCTATTAATCACGTTTGCCAAATGTTTCTAGTAGACCACAAGTGTTTGAATGTGATATTTGTGGTAGATTTGGTCATTTGGCTAAGTTTTGTTATGATTTGAAAAAATGTTCAAACTTGCCAAATTTCTCAAGTAAACCACCTTTGTTTAATAAGGTTTCTCATTTGCAAAATAAATTTAAAAGACAATCTTCAGTTGCAAATGATTTTTGTGCACGCTCACTTGGTCAACACAAATCTTTTCACTCTTTTCATTGCACGAATTGCAATCGAAAAGGTCATTTGAATGAATATTGTTTTGACCGTGCTAGTGCACCATATGTGCCCAAGAGGGTTCATAACCCTAGGGCTTTGAGCTTCATTGATAGGGGTCATGTCCCTAAATCTTTTGTTTTAGTATTTTTAATTTTCTTTTTCTTGGTTTTGAAAAATGTATTTTAAACTTTTATGAAAACAATTCATTTTATTGGTCAAATCCTTTGTTTTCATAATTATTAGTTTTGATTTTGATGAGAGGTTTGTATTTATATAACCCTCCGGATTTATTGGGTGTTTATTCCCAAATCATGTTTACCGGATGCCAAAATGATTATATGGGTTGAAACAAGCTTAAGAGCTTGATATATTGTTGCCTCTCTTGAAATTCTTTTGTCAAAGAGTTTGTTTTGATTTATTGCTTTGAATTCATTATATTTCACTTATATGATGATATTTATGTGTTTGTGCTAATGGATCATCTATTCGTGCCTTATAATGTATTCTATGAGTGGTTTGATCAAGTTATGTAAAGAAAATTTTCATTTTGATCAAACATTGCTTTTGGACTCAAATCTTGATTTATGATTTCATTTGAGTGATTTGTTTTCACTTGAAAACTTTTTTCATGGTTCTCATGTTTTCCTTTTCTTTTGATTTCATAAATCTATCTTTACACATGGTTTTTATGGTCCTTGATATGAGACATATATATATATTCTTTTTATACTCACCTATGCTTATTGATAGGGGGAGCTTTCGCTCTCTTAATTCTTTTGTCCTCTTTTTGATGTTGTCAAAGGGGGAGAAATATTGTAAGTATATGTATACATTCTTCCTTGTTTATATATGCATGTGAATTATAATTTATATATTCAATTCTTTTCATGCATATATCCTTTTTTTGTAAATTGTTTGTCATCTTCAAAAAGGGGGAGATTGTTGGCCTTCTTGTTTTGATGATGATTTACAAACAATTTACAACTAATGTTGTTTGTCTAGTGTTTGTGTTTTCGTATTTATTCTAGGCAAACAACGAGTTGGAGGATGGATGGAATAGCGCATCAACGATCATATCCAAGGTGAAGCCTTGCAATTCAAAGTTAAAGATCAAGTTCAAGCTTCATCCGCAAATATATCAAGTCAAGCCTATTGAAGATCAAGATCAAGCTTTGGTATATTTAGTTTAGGTTTTATATTATGTGTGTTAGATACTCTAAGCTCAATATCATATACACACACGTATTTGGTTTCTAAGCTCAAATATTGTATTCTCAGTTTATAGACTTAACAATCATCATATACATATTTTATCAAGTCTATATAATCATTGTGCAAAGTTTCAAAACATTGTTTATGTCAAAACATCAAACTTCATGTATATCACTTTTTTCATGTTTTGAACACTTTTGCAAAATAATGAGATTTCACAATTGGGAAATGAAAATTGGAAAATTCTTTTTGTAACATGTTCAAAATATCATTTGCAAACATTTCTCAAAGTTTCATCAAGTTTGGAATTGATTTGTTATGTTTAAAGGAATTTACAAATTCACGTTTTTGTTCGTGCACATGTTCGTGCATGTTTTACAAAACTGATGATTTTTCGCAAATGGGAAGTGATATTTGAAAAATTCTTTCTCTGACATATTTATCTACATGTTTAGAAACTTTTTACCAGTTTTTATTATTTTTGGAGTTGATTTACTATGCCAATTGATTTTACAAAATCGTATATGTTAACAGTTTTTTCAGAAACTGTAAATTTGTATTCAAATATTTATTTCTCTCAACTGGGAAAATATTTTTCAGAAATTCTTTCTCTGACATGTTATTCTACATGTATATAACATGTCCAAAATATTTCATAATTTTTGAAGTTCATTTACTATTTTAAATTGATTTTCCAAAACAGCTGCGCACTGCTACAGTAACTCCGGTCGATCGGACCGGTCGACCGGAAATATCTCTAGAACTTTTTCAGGTTTGTACAGTGCGAGCGGTCGACCGAAAAAAAGGTCGGTCAACCGCCCAGCTCCCAGAATGCCCATAACGGCTATTTTTTTGTATCCGTTGGAGGGGTTTTTGGTCTTTTGGTTTGGGCTTTTGTTTGAGGTATTGGGAGGCTATTTGAGTTTGTGAATTCAATTTCACAAGAGCAAGTGGAGATCATCCTTTGGTGTTTGAGCATTCACTCTTCTCCTACTCTCTTGTCATCTTTAGAGAAGTGTTTCTAAACTCATCTAGCAATTTATTATTTTGATTATAATTTCCATAAGCTAGATTTATATTGAGTTTAGTTTAATCGTTTTATTGATACTCTTTGTTCACACACAACCTATTGAGCTTAGTGTATTTACATTCATAGTATAATTTGGGGTTGTGGGTTTGTGACTAAGAGTTGTGCTTAATTGAGTTCTCACCTTGTTTAGAGAACAATCAAATTGATTTATATTGTGCTTAATTGTGAGGATTCACTTGTAATACACTTGTACACCAAGAGAAGTGTGTGGTGAGAGACGGGGTCGAATCCAAGAGGAGTGGCGTCGGTTGACGTGCCTAGGGAGAGGTTGTAACCGAGCACTTGAGGAGGAGGACACGGGCTAGGACCAACACTTAGTGTGTAAAGTATGATTGCATAGTGATTATATTGTGAGGTGTAAACGTTGTTCGGGTAAACGTAGAAAACCCGGTTGTGATAGTGGAGATCTCCTCGAGGTGAGGAGCGGAGACGTAGGTCGTGGGGACCGAACTCCGTGATCATATCGTTTTGTTTGTGATTGCATTGGCGTTCTTATTCTTGTTTTCATATCTTATATCGCTTTTGTTTATTGCTCATCATATTACCCTATCACTTGTGTAGATTGTTTATTTTACCCTTGTGTTAGTTTATATATCATTGCTCATATACTTGTAATATCTCATTGATAGGATATATTCATTTGTTCATATTGCCTTATCCTAGCTAATGTATCTTATTGCATTTTATTCTTGCTAGGATATTTTGTTATTAGTTTTAATTGGTATTTAATCAGATTAGATTAGCATAAGACCCTAATCACCCCCCCTCTAGGGTCTAACAGGTTCGACAAAAGAAGAGGCATCTCGGCCTCGATGAGACAGAAGGTAGCCGCCAATGATCAAAGTCAGCTTCATTAGAGAAGTGTAGTACCCCGAGTGGATATCCAATATGGTGCTGGTGAAGAAGTCCCTTGACATGTGGAGGATGTGAATGGACTTTACAGATTTGAACAAAGCTTGCCCAAAGGGAAACTATCCCCTCCCAAGGATCGATCAACTAGTAGATGACAATGTGGGTCATAAACTGCTCAGCTTTATGGATGCCTTCTCTGGCTATAACAGGTCCTTATGGCGGAGAATGATCAAGAGAAGACCTTATTTCGACTGCAATATGGAAGCCTACATAGATGACATCCTTGTGAAGTTAAAGCATGCGTTGTCTCATGTGTTGGATCTTGAAGAGACCTTCTCTATCCTCCAATGCTACCGCATGAAGCTCAACCCTGCCAAATATGCTTTTAAAGTGTAATCAGGCAGGTTCCTCGGGTTCATAATTATTTGGAGAGGCATTAAAATCAACCCTGAGAAGATAAATACCATAGAGCAACTACCTGAACCCAGCATGCTGAAGGACGTCCAAAGGATAAATAGAAAGATAGCTGCATTGGACCACTTTCTTTTTAAATTTGCTCATAGAAGCCTTCCATTCTTCAAAACTTTGAGAGGGAGCAAAGAGCTGAAGGAAGGCATGGGCTTGACGACCAAGTGCAACGAGGCCTTTAGGGACCTCAAGAGATATTTGAGCATAAAGCCACTGTTGAGCTGACCCAAAGAAGGGGAGACCTTATATCTCTACTTGGCCATCTCCCCAAAAGCCATTAGCTCTGTCCTCATCCAAGAGGAGGATAATCGGCAGAAGTCGCTATACTATATCAACCGAATCTTAAAGGTGGCCTAACTCAACTACACCCTTATTGAGAAAACCTCCTTTATTCTCATTACTAAAGCAAGGAGTCTTTGCCCTTACTTTTAGGCACATACCATAGTGGTGTGGATGAACTTGCCTTTGAAGAAAGAACTTGGTAGTCCAACCACTTCAAGAAGGATGGTCAACTAGTCAGTTGAGCTCAGTGAATATGATGTGTAATTTGAGATCAGGATGACCATAAAGGCCCAAACCTTGGCTGACTTCTTAATATATTCAATCGCAGTAGATAATGAGCCATCTCGACTCATATCGGTCCCCTACCAAAGCCTTCAATGTCCAAGACAGCAAATACACCTACTTCTCCGAGGTGCTACATCATCAGACATAACTTACCCAAGTTCACCTCATGGTGGTTGCTAAAGGTGGACGAATCCTTAGGAGAAGGAGGTAGTGGAGCTAGAGAAGTCTTGTGTAGCCCTGATGGGTCAACGCAAGAACATTCCATCACTTTTGATTTCTTCGCCTCGAATAACAAGGCCGAACATGAAGACCTCTTAGTGAGACTTCGAGTCGCCTTAGCAGTCAAGGCCGAGCTCATCAACGTCTTGGTTGACTCTCAACTTGTTGGCTACCAATTAAGGGGAGATTATGCAGCAAAAGAATTAAGAATGCTTTTGTACATGAAGGTGGTCAAAGAGCTCTTAAGCAACTTCAAAGACTTTAGGATTGCCCTAGTTACTCGCACCCTCAACGTGTGCGTGGACGCCTTATCCAAGATCGGATCATTTAGCTCAGGGAATAATTCAGGACCTATGCACACAGACACCCTCAAGTGCCCTAGCATCATGAAAACTTTAGACCCGATCATGCAAACTGAGACTTCTATAGAATCCTGTTGGATGGATCTACTCATCCAGTACCTAACATGGAGGACCTCATAGAAAATACTATTGAAGCGAGGAGTTTACAGAGGAATTCTCAAAGATATCTTCTGCTCGATAACCAACTTTATCGAATATCATACTCCAGCAGTAGTGTGAGGCCCTATCTCTAATATCTCTAACTGGTAGAGGCTAGTTACGTTCTGAGAGAGATCCATGAAGGAACTTGCGGGAATCATCCACCGGCTATAACTCTTGCTTAAAAAGTGATCTGTCAAGGCCCATCATCTTAGCTGAGTCCAAGGGATTTGTCTCCTAATACAAGAAGTGCCAATTCTTCTCAAACATACCACAAGATTCAGCCACTAGATTAACCCCCACTGGGTTGGGGCCTCTCCTAATAGGCTCTAGGCAATGAAAATTCTTAATTGTTGCCATTGATTATTTCACCAAATGGATTGCAGCCGAACCATTGGACAAAATTGGCGAGAGTGTTTGGTGGGAAAATTTGAAGAAGAAAAAATGGAGAATTGAATTCGTGTTTATTCTTTCTAACTGATTTAGATAGAGAATAATTACAACCCTCTCAATACATTCTCTCTCTAACAAACTTTAGAAAAGAAATTACAGTTCTTCTCAATCGGTTTCCCAAATTACAAAAGAGAGAAGGATCGACAGAGATCCTTCTCTTTGTTTAAATCTAGATACTTCACGCTAGCGATGAGATGCCTCCCTCGACATTCGTATCGAGCTTGCTTATTGTTGACGATCCGACCGTCTTACTTCACTAGAACGATCAATGAAACTTGCAAGGTAAGTTTTAAGATAACTCTTGACGAGTTTTAGAACTCAGGATGAGTTTAAACTCTGTGACGGAGTTAATTTGAACTGAAAAACCAGTTAATAAGCCAAGTACTAAATCTCTAAGGATTTCTGTTGCTAAAGGAGATTTCTAAGAGAACAATAATGCCGATCTCCTCCAAATCTAGCCTTTTTTATGATCTGCCCCAAAAAGAAGATCTCCCCTGATCTCAGCTAATTTTTTAGCTATATATAGGGCATTAAGGGGTGTAACTAACCCCTAAAATCTTTCCCAAGTGGAGGAGTGATCCTCTTAAATCATAAAAAATGGTTTTAAAACCGTTCAACTCGTGTTTGAACGAGTCGAATGTAGAATCCGCGTTCTAGCAAGAATTCTATGTTTAAACACAATAGTTTAGGAGTTGCGTTAAGTAGCGGATGGAAACTGTGCCGGGCAGTTTTTAGAAGCTATGTTGAGAAGCGGATAAGAGCTGTGTTGGGCAGGCGATGACAGCTACATTGAGCAGCGGATGAGAGCTGCGTTGGGCAGCCGATGGCAGCTGCTTGAGCAACTCTTGGAAGCTTGAGAGCTGCGTTGGGCAGCCGATGGCAGCTGCTTGAGCAACTCTTGGAAGCTGCATTGAGCAACGGATGAGAGCTACGTTGGGCAGTCGATGATAGATGCGTTGAGAAACTCTTGGAAGTTGCATTGAGTAACTCTTGGAAGCTGCGTTGGGTAGCCGATGGAAGCTGCGTCGACAGATTTTAGGAACTGGGTTTGTAGCTGATTGTGAGCTGAGTTGCTTTGACTCTAGAATGCGGTCATCTGGTTTCACTTCTGGAATGCAGAGATGAGTTCTGCATCTTGAACTGAAGAGATCGTTGACTTGTGATCTCTTTTATCAGAGCATTACAAAAATTGGCATTTTGTATTTTTTGCTTTAGCACCTTGAACTGTGAGAGCCGTCAGATTATAACTCTCGCTGTTGATTGTGAAGACTGCTGAATTAGAGCTTTTATCGATTATTGTGAAGGTCGTCAAATTATAACCCTTCTCGATCTACGTGTAAACTTCTAATTGTAGCCTTTATTTGTTGATATGAAAGTCATTTGACTGTAACCTTCATTGTCGAGTTGTCGATGCAAAGGTTATCAAATTATAACTTCCATCCTTGATGTTTAATAGGGATCAACTATCTGTAGTAATTTTTAGATAGCCTACAGAACCTCCTCCAAAGTTTTTAAAGTTCGCGGTTGATTAGAACGATTTTTCAAAATACTTTGGATCCCCAAATTGATTTAAGATCTGTTGTTGGATGACAGTTCACCATATCTGTTTTGAAGATATCACAAACTCGATTGTAGAAACTTGCTGTATGTCACAGTTCTGTAACTTCTTCGCTAATTTTCTTGAGATCTCCTTTGGTGATGATCGAACTCATACTTCTGACGAACGCGTAGAAGTAGTTAATGTAGTTCAAATCTTTTTAAACCAAACAAGATAACTTTTATGTCTTGATGACAATGAACTTAGTCAAACAAGCTAAAGCCCAAGCCATCATCGTTAGATCCATTATTAGGATTAATTTTTTCCTCTTCTTCGATAGCAGGAATAACAACATTCTCAGCCAATGCAACAGGGGAGGTAAGTGAATTTTCTTGGATCCATGAGATACTCCTTCACCTTGTATAAGGGTGTATTTAGTGTTAACAATAAAAGCAATGACGTTATTAGAGGCATCGACCAATATGTGGGGTGTAGCTCTGGGTTGAAGACAGATCCATTATAATTGACAGAGAGAACCACAAGCCCGTATAAGGAGGACCTTATCCAAAGTTTGGCAAGGAGGGCGATCTTAGAAGACCCCACTTCATCTTCTTTCTTGATCAGCTCAACTGGGGTAATGATTTCAACAATATCCTTATTAATTTTGGTTGGAATATTAAGCCATTTGAAAGGATGAGTTGCGCAAGGGATCTAACTCGATAGTATCAGTGATACCAATTATAACCTGTCTGTATTCATCCAAGAGGCTGCATAGCTTCTTGTTATAAATTAGTTTCTTCTCGGCTTTCGTCATCTTGATGGCCATTGCTAACATCTCTCCAAATATCTGAAATGTATAATAGTCTTATTGATTATGGCGAATCAGTGTGTAAGTGGAATCTGGAATTTTGAAATTGAAATACCAGAGAAAACCCTGCATTTTTAGAGTCAAAACGTAGGAGGAAGCCCTACGTTTTTTTATTCTGAGACGCAGCAATAAGCGTCTGAGAGTTCAACCGACTTAGTGTGAACGCACATATTGCATTTGGGCGGGATTTTCTCCTCAAATCTCGTCTTGATTTGATAGCTCACCGCTGACTATAAATAAACTGTCAGGATCACATCAAAAGTCATTCGACTTTCCACTACTGTTAATCTTCTCTAGCAATTCCTATTCATCTTCTTCAACAAGATTGGAATGGCTCCTAAAAAGAGAACCGCTTCCAAATCTAAGATCACCCTTTCTCAGAATTCACCATCGGCCAAGGCCGCTGGTGATGCTCAGGCGACCACGCTACCGCCACAGGCCCCCTCAATCAATGGTAAGTTTGGGCAATTATAACTTGTTTTGATAAGTTTTATACTATTAACGCTGAGTGGAAACTCACGTTTGACCATTAAAACACAGAGGTTATCCTTAATGTTTCTCGATTTGGAACACGGGTCTGGATCCTGTGTTTGAAATTTAGAATACGGGTTTGAACCCTGCGTTTTGAATTTTAGAACACAGGCCTGGACCCTGCGTTTGGAATTAAGAACGCGGGTTTGGACCCTGCATTTTAAATATTTGAACACAGGCCTAGACCCTACATTTGGAATTAAGAACGCGGGTTTGGACCATGCGTTTTGAATTTTAGAACACATGCCTGAAC